TATCAACCTGAACTTAAATTTTTCACAACTGTTAAATAAATTTTGGGTTTTAGCAACATTTTAACCTTTGATTAGAATACAAAAAAAAATATTAAGCAGAGTGCAAACTCGTCAGCAAAGAGATCTATCTCCATTTTGACACTTGTAAGCAGGGGAATGCACGGTTTGATTTCCTAAGTGGAATCACTTTTATCATGAATTCCTAAACTGCCAGCCATAAAACCCTTTCACAGCTGACACAGGATTGGTAAATCGGTTAGCGCTATATAAATATACATCTGTGCCCACACATAGACATGCATATGTGTGTATACATACATACAGAAATATCGATATATGTAAAGACACTTCTTCGGTATCAAAACATACTTTGAAAAAGAAAAAAAAAATTAGTTCAATTATTTTTAAAAGTAGGAGTATATCCATAGAGTAAGGGGATGTCTCTCAAGCTTCTTGTCTTCATAGACTTGCAGCTAGCTATGATAGTGTCCCACCCCTTCTCCATAAGAAGTCCTGTGCTGAATTCTTGCATCTCACAGAAAATGGCTGTTTTCAGAGAGGTAATGAAGGAGATGAGTGAGAAATGTCTGATCCCTACATGGTTCCTCACGTGCTTTTTACTCTTGGTGAGCGCATGCTTAAGCGCAGACTGCTCACTGTGCCTGGTGTGTACCCAGAGCATCTTCCTGCTCTTGAACTGGGACTCTGAAATGCTGTCCAGTTTCTCCTTATTGTCTGAAGTGGAAACTGTGCACTGCACCTTGAAAAAGCTCTTCTTTGAGAAGAGATTATATTATCGGTATAATAAGTTGGTAAAAAAATAAAACCGCAGAAATAGTGTGAGTATTTAAATTTGGCTTCTCCTTGTTACAATTTCTAAACATGTTTTTTAGATAATCTTCAGAAAGTGTGTTTGGCATCCTCTTTATTCTGGGTTCATCTATTTTATGCTATGTCCATAATCTCAAACATGTTCTTAAAAGACAACAGTTTCTGCAGGTGAAAGCCTGTATGTTCTGGGTGAATCTAATACCCTAGTAAATCTACAGTTTACCCATCCTTCTCCTTGCTTCTCTGAAATCTAAAGAAGCCAGCACTTCAAATGTTCTTTTTTGACTGTTTAGTAAAAGCATTGATTTCAAGTTATGCAAATTCTCTTGAAAGAGCCTCCGGCAGTGTCCGGTAGTACCAAGTCTCAGCTACCCAAGTCCCAGCTTCCTTTAGCCCTCAGTCTCCATCCACAAGAACAGCCTTAACTAAAATAGGGCGATAGAATGGAATTCTTTTAGGAGAAAGCATTCATTCCAAGGAAAGGAAGTTTTTCCAATTGAAGCAGCAGCAAGAAAGATACCCAGAAGATTTTCAGTCCCTTTGGAAGCATGCTGCCTTGTTTTATTATTGTATTAAAAGCAGTGACTGCTCCAGTGCCGAAAGCTGGATACCTTAGCTGTACTTATTTTGATACTGATGCTTGTTATGGTACTTGTTGTTTCCCTTCGCTTTCCTCTGAAACAGTGATAAGATTTATTTTACCTTCTCCCCCCTCCCCCCAGCTGTTGCATTTGAAGTTTAGAAACCTTTTCAGGAGGTATGGGGCAGGGTTGGCAGAGCATCCTCTGTTTCTTCAGCAGAGCCCTTCTTCCCGTTTTTGAGTGTCAGAAAGGATCTAAAGATTAGAATAATTCTGAATCAATTAGGATTTTTAAACGAGACCACAAATTCTATTTCCGGCATTATGAATCTTATATTCACAACTGTTCGGTATACATCCTTATTTTACCTAGTCCGATCCAGTTCTGGTAGCTGCTGGTAATGATATGATGCAGCAGCAAAAGCGGCTCTCAAAAATTAACAAACAAACCAGCAATAACTTGTATGAATATGAGATTTATTAACAATGGGTGTACAATTAAGAATGTGGAAGCGTTGTCTTCGGAGAGCGTGCTTCAGAATGAAGCAAGCCACACTCTGAGTAGTTTGTGAAGGACGGCTAGCTGCAGGGGTGGCCTTCCACACTCAGCGGACCCAGGATCCCACCGAATGTTCTTTGTGGGATCCTGATGAAAGAACAACTTTTATCACCAAGATTCTGGTTTTCTTTGCAGAGTCCTGTTGACTCTTCAAGTAGGACAAATGGTTTAGTTGAAAGATGATAAAAGCCTTGCATTTTTTTGAGATATTCTTAAAACTTATACTTCAGAAAGGAAGAAGATCATGTTGCCATTCTTGAAAAGAGTCCCAAAAGATATTTTTCAGCATACGAACTTAGCACTGTGAATGAGTTTTCTTTTTCAGTCTGACTAGTGCGATAGGTGAACGCTTAGGAATTGTCGAAGTATAAATAAAGTGCAGTCAGGATGTATTTTGATGTGCTGTGTCCCTATAAACTATTGCCCACTATCACTGCACCTAGCCGTACGGCTTTAAAAGGGACTGAACATAGTTCAGTCATTTCTCTGAATGCTCAGGATCAGGTGTGGAGATGGGTAATAGATGAAAAAGAGTATTACTTATAATTGCCCTAATATGGGAGACTATTTTCCAAGATACAAGAAAAAAAGGAACAGATGGTTATTAATAACGGGAGGGTCGGCTCCTAGATGAAATATCTGGTGTTGTTAATTTAGTTAAATTTAGTAAACAAAAAGCAGATTGATTAAGTAGGATTTCCATTTTCAAAATAAATTGAGAGAGCTAATTAGTGAAATCAACTGGACTGAGTGATTTTAGACTAAAATGTGGTACAGGTTTGGGATTTATTTTAGACAAAGGTGCAAAAGTTAATAAAAAAAATGCATTACAAATTAGATAAGAAAAAACACTTGGAAGGCAAGTTCTGTGCCAAAGTGAATGATTAGGTATTTTTTAAGGAATGTCTGGAATAAGCAAAGATCCTGAAAGAAACAGAAAATGCTCTGCAGAAATGATCTGCAAAGAAGGCCACCTCCTGGATATCAGACAGTGTGGGGTTATAGTGACAGTTAGCAAAAGTTCAGTTGAATTAGATTATAAGAAAGGAATTTAAATTAGCAAGAAAACAATACTTGACCATGTAAAGAAGCTTTCTGGGGAAGGAAACTAGAACCATTGCGTAGTGCAAATGGACAAATGATATAAATATAATCCAGATATGGTCCAAACTGGAAAAGTTTAAATTTTCAGTAAAACCAAAATTTCAGACAAAGGCCTGAAAATAAATAAATAAAATAAAAGGGAGTGTTGGGTAGATATTATAAATTAGCACATCCAGTAAAGATTGAAGCATCTGACTTGCAGAGTAACTGTCTGTCCAGCATACTGACAAATACATGGAACAATTTCTTTAGTCTTTTAGTTCATGGCTGATAGCATAATTTTGAAGGAGGGGAAATGTACCTGTACTTAGATTAAGAGAAAAAAAGTGATAGCAAAGCAGCTATATAGGTTGACTAGTATCTGTGCAGGGCTTTAGAAAAGCTTTTAAGGAAGAAGTAAGAGAGAAAAGAAAAGGAAATGGCATAATTTTTAGTGCAATTTTTTTGTTAAATGGAGGATTGTGCCCAACTAACCTGCTAGCCTTTCAAAAAGACATTAAAGAAATACAGTAAGTCTAGATAGACCTCAGTAAACCATCTGATGTTGTGCCATGGGAGATGTTACGAAATAGAAAGGATGGTATTTAGTGAAGTATAGTAATTATAAGATGAATAGAAAAATGCAGATTTTAATGAAAGAATTATTTTTGGTGAAGTTCTTCAACAGTTTATGGTGGAACTGATCTTACTCAATATTTTCATTCATTGTCTTGTCACAAAGTGGGAGACTGCACTGATGGACTTTTATGAAGAAATAATATTAGAAGGTAGTATCCAGTGCAAGCACAAATAGAGTATTCAGGTAGGACTGGTCCTTTCTGAGGAAAAGAGGACTAAAAGTAGCATGAAATGGTATGAAATACAGTATTGTGGTAGCAATAATTTTTACTGTAAACTGCAAACTTCTTCTGTAAATACAAATGGAGAGTAAACATGTGGGAGTGTTGGTTAAGGATGGCCGTGAAACTGCAGGATGGTGTGGTGTGACTATAGACTCTATTGAGCAAGATTTTTTTGATAGAAAAAGAATCCAAAGAATCAACTGATTAAACTTTTCGTATGCGCTCTACAGCTCCTGTCCCTTCTTTTCCGTCTACAGGAAGAACTGATTTAAACAAAGCAGGGAATAGGGAACCTCATTTAGGAAAAAGACTGAAAACTTGATTTCAGTAAGCAGAAGAGAGGACATAAAGGTGCATGATGCTGTCTGTAAACGAATTAAGGAAATACAGAGGGACACAGAAGAATTACCAAGCTAAATGACAGGCTGGGCAAGAATAAATAGTATAAAACAGGACATGAAAATTTTCTTTGAAAAATAGATTATTCTTTCTTTTAACAGTCCTTCAACAGAAGTAGCTATTACAGAGAGGAAGGTTTCCATGTAATACTTGGTTTCTGTGAATGAATGTCACTGTTCTATGTATAAACAACCTACAGGATGTAAAACAAGATGTTTTGCAAACGTGTTAGGTAGTTTCAGAGAAGCTTTGAACTTGTGCTATTACAAAAAAATATCTGGTATCATACAGTCGACTCAAAATTTTTCACAAAATAGATGAACTTTTACATGCTTTGACAATGTTAGTAAAATCAAACTCACCTGTTTATATGGTATACTTCTGTAACCTTATACTAGTAAAATTGTCTTTAATAAGTCAAGAAGAACCTCAGTCAAAACTTGAAGTGAAATTAAATCCGAGATTTTCAGAACACTCAGGCTCCAAATTGAAGATGGAGAGGAGTAGTTTCTCTTGCCAGCTGTAAGAATTTGAAGGTGTAAAGTTGAGATTTGTCTATGTTAAATTTTGTTTTAAACTGCAGTTACCATGTAAGGTAAAATGAATTGCAATTCTTATAAATACTGTGTTCTTTATTATCAGGGTTTGTCTATAACAAAGATGTTTTCTTTTATTTTTGTATTAGGAGGATCAAATGAAAATGGAAGCACGCACCACACCTCAGATTCTGATGGAACGTTTCTTTCTTACAGGTTTGTAATTTTTTTATATTTATCTTCTAATTTTGAGAAGTTTGAATATCATGAGCAGCCTAATCTATTTAAAGCAAAAGAACAGGTTCATATATTTTAAGAGTATTGTACAGTCTAAATTGCAACAGTCAGTAGAGTAAAAGACAAGAAGGATTTCATTGAGAAATGATCTGAAAAGTTGTTTTCTGGATTATTATTTTTTCGAGAAAGCTGTTCAAAATGCTTAACTAATGAAAGTACAGGGTGTTTGTAAGCCTAAATATTTTTAAGGTTGTTTTTTGTTATTTTTCCTCCAAAGTATGCAATAAAGTAGAAATTCTCACCTAAACTCATAGCAGCTAAGCTAAATGTTGAAATATTTAACTCGCCGGGGATCACCTTTCTGATCTTCTCCAAAGTAACCAGATCTGTGGACCATATAGAACTCTATTTGTTCATTATTTCAGGTCAAAAACTCAAGCCAAGATTTGTTAAATTTGAGGTTTTCTGACAGGAAAATAATATTTCAATTCTTTTGGTGGTAAACACCAGTTAAAGAAACATGATGCTAAGCAACTTTCTGCAGCGCTGTGTCACTGAGCTCGAGTCTTGCTTGGGTACATACCAGAGGGTGTCTTGGACTTGAAAGCACAGAAGGGTAATCAGCAGATGTGTGGTTTCAACTTTCAGCCAGCAAAATACTGCCTCTGCTACAAATGCTAAATCTTTGTCCTTGTGACTGGTAAATTCATAGTAAGATCTGTGCTAACCAGAATGACTGCATCTGATTTTGATGCTTAAGTATGGTAAAAGAAAACAAGCTTACCAAGTGATTATTTTGGATTCATTTATTGAACTATGGTGGATGGCATGTTTTTCATTTTTTGTTTGTAGTCTACTGGAATCTGTACTTCAAAGAGGTGTAGGCAGGCAGGGAACCTGCTGGTTTGCCTTGTGCTGGTTGCAGCCGGCTGGGTGAGGAATATCACACCATCCTGCAGGCAGGGAGCTGTGCTGGGCATGAGAAGCCTTCACGTGTGGGGTGATGGGGAGGGACACAACGCCTGGAGAACCTGCTGCAGGCTGGAGACTGAGAGACTGCTGAGGAGAGCAGGGAGCAAACACCCTGGTCTTCAGGATGTTGAAAAGAAGGACTTTTCCTAAGGACCTAGAGGGAACAGCAAAGAGTTTGTTGCGATTCAGACACCCAGAGGAACCTTCTGGACTGAGAGCAAGGTTGGAGAAAAGGGTGTACCTGCAGGGACATGGTGGGACAGGGCAGGTTTGATTTACAAATCCTTCCATTTTCCTGTGTTCTACTAAGTTTGCTCTAATGAAACCTACTTTGTGATGATATAAAACCATTCGACGGTAGCTAGCATGTTCACTTGGAGAAAAATATGTTAGCAGATCCATTTCAGGGTTCTGCCTGACTCGATTTCTTATCGTATTTGTGTTCTCTAATGCATGCAACTTACTATCTAAATTAAAAGAAGCACTCAAAAATACCACCCAGAATAATCTTCGTGTTTTTTAGGTGAGAAGCATATGTAGATACAGAGACCATGAAGCAGTCTCTGAAATATAGGCAAGATAGAATTTAGCTGGATCAGCAAAAGGAAGGAGTTGAGAGCTTTCTCTGCCATTAATTCCAGGACACTCATACCTGAAAGTCATTAACTCAAGAGCTCGAGCTGTTGTACCTGCCAAGGTAAAACTTGAAGAAGCAGCAAGCTTCAGCTCGGCTCTGGTTCCACGGGGGTGTAAGCTGTGGGGCTGGGGTCCAACCCTGTCTTCCTGTCCCTTCTTCACTCATCCAGTGGCACTCATCTCTCAGTGAACTAGCCCAGCCTAAACTGCAATGAATCCGCAGCCATCTTTAGTTCTCCACAAATAAGAGGAGATTAAAGCTGGCCTTTGTATCTCCATATTCCTTAGTCCAAAGTGCATATAAAAAAATATGATGTTGGCTACATCTTTCACTGAATAATAATCGTATTCTGTCAGAGAGGATTACAGCCCAACTTACAAAACTGAAGTTAATTAATATTTTAAAAGTGGTCCCATATACCACTGCCAGAGTATTATTGTTATAATTAGAGGCAAGATGATAAAGCAAGATAGTACCGTGTATATATATATATATGTCTCTGTGTGTATACATGTATATATATATATAAAAGAAACCTCTAACTTTTAATAGTTGGCAAGCTAGCACTGTTATTAAGTAGTATTACAGTGTTTAAGGTGTGAAATGAATATTTTCTGCTCAGTGGCAAGTAACTCCCATCATATGATGAGACTGGCTGTAAATTTGCTAGTTTGGTTGAATATTGTGTTGATAGTTATAGTTCTGTGCTGCATGTTAAGCAAAAATGAGCAGCTAATACCTTAGGAAAGATGAAAAGTGAATCCTAAACTACCTTGACAGGTAACGATAGTAAATGGTTGTTATTTCTTTAAGGACTCGTTAGAGATTTGGACTTACTTTAGGATACTGTCAATGAATATTGTTTCAGTAAGTTAGTAATCTGGAAAAACCAATGATAGTCTTGTTTACCCAATGTGTTTCAATCTATTGTGTTTCAAAAAGACTGGCTAGTGAATTTTTGCCCTAAAAGAGGCACAGGCATCTTTGGATCGCAGTAGATGTCATGCTGGCAGAAGGCTAATACATGCAAAATTCTACTGGAAACTTTTACTGAAACAAAAGCTAGCTGCTTCATGGTTTATCAGTAGCAGTCTCTTTACAGTTTATTTAGAAGAAGGGGCAACTCCAAATGCTTAAAAATATTTGAATGTGAATGTGTTTTGCTATTAAAGTGCTCTTAAGAGTATATTGTTTTTACCACAATTTAAAAAAAAAAAAACCATGGAGGGGGGCTGTTACTCGATTCCAACACTTTTTATTTTAAAGGACAGTTTTACACTATGCACTACAAGACTCTGAGTGTGTGTACATGTATTAATAAAGGATGTCAAATCATTATCCCTTGATATATTTGTAATTCTCCAGAACTATTTGTATGGTTTTATTTTTAATATGTTGGTGTCACCGTAGAGTTTGCGGGTCTTGCTTGTGTTGATCACGGCACAATTTAATGCTGCTTATGTTCACATAGTGAGCATTTCCCTTTAGGTGATAAAGTTTATAAGTAATGTAAGTGAAAAGCACATGTGACTGGCACATATTTCTAAATATTCTGTGAGTTTGTGAATGTGTCCTGTCAGGTCACAGAGAATTTTCTAGTTGGTCTTCAGGCTCTGATGGAAGAAGAAGCTTTACTAGTAGAAATTATAAAAATTATTTCCTAGAACCATGTCATCAAAATTTGAACTATTAGAAAAATTCGAACAAGGATTTAGATACGTAGTAGCTCTCATCTTTAAAACATAAGAAACTTGAGGAAAATATTTGAGCTCCACTCTATTATTTTACTGCTTTGGTTAAAGCCTTTTCTGGATGTGCAAATTGGCCGGACTTCACCAAAAGGAAAAGAGAAATAGATGTGGGTCTCTAGTTTCAGTATCTGCAATGCAGTGCCACTGGAAAGTAGAAATACTGTCTTTCTCCTGCCTTCCCAAGGGCAGCTGACCTTCTCCTCGCCAAAGAGGTGAACCCCTTGCCAGCACATATGACTACAGACTATTACATTAATCTGTTTAGCCTCAGTACCAGCTGCTTGCATGTTTTTAATTATCTTATTAGATGGTATAACAGTGACCTATGAAATAAAATGAAGGTGAGTATTTTTTAACTTTATTTTACAGGCTATTTTTCTAAATATATTTTAATGACCTAATTATGACTTTTAGGGAGAGCCATTGATGCAGACATTCAATTTGGCTGATAGAATCTAACATCTCAAGGACACTTATTTTCTTCCAAGGTGGATTCAAACATTAATACTGCTTCTAATAAATATATAGCCTAGAAAAAGCTCACTTTTCATACTTGTGTTGTTAACTTACTTTATGATTCAGAGACCCATGACTACTATGCTGGATAATTTCTTAATACATCTCTGCACTTGTATATAAGTTTAATTTCTACCCCATGTGTCAAGATAAAGTTCTTTCATGTGTGCCTTAAACTCCATGACAAGTGATGATTGCTCAAAGTCGTGGGTAATGTAGACAATGTATATTCTTCCTTCTGCTGATATTTCAAACAGGCAGAAGATCTACTGTAAGACAGACTTCCGTATTCCGTTTTCTTCCCCTGACTTCTTACAGATTCTGCTTACCAGATGTTTTCTTTCTTACTGCAAAAAGGCAATGTGGTCCTGCTGGCTGAGGCATGTTTCTTGTGTGCCAGCCAACAACCGCAGGACTGATACTGAGCATACAGAAGAAAGACGGCAAGGGGCGCAAGCTGTTCCTCCCTGTTTCTACCCCCTTCCAAAAAATGGATAGTGAAACTAGTTTAATTCCTGTTTGACCTATGGCTTTTCTTGGCAGCTGAGCCTGAAATGGCTACATAGCCTCTGTCCTTATATGTTAAACATAGTGCAAAGACGTGGGCAACTTACGTACCTCCACCTTGTGGAAAACTCTTGATTTAATCTGTTAGGAAGCAGCCCGTTCTCATCTACACAAGCCTATTCACCCTTGTTCGTACACAGGTGGTGTTTCTTTATTGTTTTAAGCCACCCCTGTGCGATTCTAACCTATTTTTCCTAACTTTGTCCGCTATGTGTCCACATGTAATAAAGACCCATAAATAACAAGCTTGTTTCTATTGGGATTTTCAAATATTTTGAGATGCAAATATTTGGGTATAGAAGGTGAAGCAGTGAAGTGGCACTGCACCTCTGCTCTGTAAGGAGCATTCTCAGTGCTTGCATCCTTCCTCTCTTTCCACAAGGAAGCAGTAAAGCTGGCATCCATGTTTGCTATGTCTTACCTAGAACCATTTGCTAGACACCATCCTGGTTGGTGCCATTTATATGCAAAGACACCTTTTCAGTACAAGTTAATTCTGTATGGGAGCCTAGAAACAGTCTCCTTGAATTTTGTGA